CAGGCGGCTTGTCCAGGAGGTGGGGCTGGCTCCCCACTGCGGCACGTACTCCCAAGGGGGGTGGCAGGACCCATGCCCCCCAGCTCTGTGCACAAGGCAAGCACAGGCTGTGGGTGCAGGCTCTCACCCTGCTGCCTTCCCCTGGAGCCTCTGCAGCCTGGCTGGCATGACCTGGTGCGGCACGGCACACTGGGGCCATGAAAAGAAGCTGCTCCCTGCTGGGAGTTCCCTGCTGCCCTGGCAAAGTGCCTCCTGTGCGCAGCGCTGCAGCGAGGGCAGTGGCACAGGGTTGCATCCCTCAAAGCAGCCCCACGCGCAGGAGGCACGTTGCTAGGGCAGTGCAGAGCTTGCACCGCTAAGCAGCTCTTCTGCGCAGCCCCGCTGCTCTCGGGCTGCCTGGGGCCATGTGCATGGAGATTTCACTGTGCACCCCCATTTCCAGAACATTGATAAAAATATTGAACGAAATAGGGCCTAGCACAGACCCCTGCTGGCCCCCATGTTTGACTGCCCTCCATCTTGAAAAGTGACCATTTAGTCCCATGCTTTGCTTCCTATCTTTTAACCAGATCTCAGTCCAAGAAACAACTCCCCTCCAATCCTGTTGCAATGCAGTTTTTTTAGTCTCTGGTGAAGAAACTTGTCAAAAACTTTTTGAAAGTCCAAATATGTATTACTGTCAACTAGATCCCACTTCTCCAGGTGCTTGTTAACACCCTCAAAGAATGCAGAACTTCCCTTTACAAAAACTATGTTGGTTCTTCCCCAGTGGACCATATTTGTCCACATGACTGCTGATTTTATTCTTTATTATAGATTCTACCAACTTGCCAGGGATGGATGAGACTCACTGGTCTGTAGTTCGCAAGATCACCTCTGGAGCCTTTTGTGAAGATGGGAATTATATTCACGGGCACAGAGGCTGTTTTTAACAATAGGTTACACAGTATTACTGGCAGTTCTGCAATTTCACTTGTAAGCTCCTTCAGAACTTTGAGGTGAATGCCACCTGGCCCTGCTGACTTATAAGTATGTCGTTTGTTTTAAAACTTCCTTTATTGTCATATCAGTGCAGTCCAAGTCTTCAGACCCATCTACTAGAAAGAACTGATCTGGCACAGGAATTTTCCCAGTGTTCTGTGGTAAATACTGATGCAAAGAATTAATTTAGTTTCTCAACTATGGTCTTATCATCCCTGAATACATCTTTTATACACCCTGGTCACCTAATGGTCCCACCAATTTTCTAGCTGGCTTCCAGCTTCTGTATTTGGAAAAAAAAAACAACTTATATTAACATTAGCATCTCTTGCTAGCCACTTCTTAAATTCTTTTTTGGTTTGCCTGAGTTTGCTTTTACAGTTGACCTGCCAGAATTTTAGAGCTTTCCTGTTTTCCTCATTTGGGCAAGCCTTCCATTTTTTGAAGGATGCCTTTCTACCTTGAATGGCCTCCTTAACACTGCTATTAAACCATGCAGGGGTTTTATTAGCCCACCGGGCACTCTTTTTGACTTGTGGTATACACTTTTGGTGAGCTTCTAAATTTTTATTTTTAAATAGAGTCTAAGCTGCCTGTAAGTTTCTTAGTTTTGACTGCTCCTTCAACCTTCTTTCTAACTACTTCATTTTTGTGCAGTTTTCCTTCTTGAAGTTGTATTTGGCATGATGGACTTATCTGACTTACTCCCTCCCACTGGAATGTTATGGCTGCTATAACAAAGTGGTTCACCAACAGATACCTCTTGAACCATCTTATTGTTTAGGTTTCTGGCATTCTTCTCATTCCTAGATAGTTAATATATATCCTGGTTCTGGATACACTTCTCAGGGAAGCAATTGCTTCCCTGATTTGGCAACAATCTATGTATCTAACCTGGAATGCAGAGAGCCATTGCCTTGTGGGGGGGGTGGGGAGGAAGGGGGAGAGAGGGCACTGTTTAACACCTAACTAAACAAAGCCTAAACTGTGGCACATACGGACAACAACAATAAATAATAAAATTGCACATTAACTTAACATTAGCTGTAAATAGATAGCAAACATGATAGTTTTAAAACTAATTCAGGAAAATATCTATGCATGGACATGGCAAACCCCAAGATCAACTCCGCTCCCTGGGTTTATGTCATACATTCACTAAGAGAGCTCTACGCTTAAGTCAAGACTGAGAATTACGTGCTAGGATCTGAACTGTTGGGTTTTTTTTTAGATTAAAATCTGCAAAGCTGCTAATAAAACCTATCACTGAGCAAAGCTTCCAAGTCTCTGATATACCAGACCTTTCTTCTTCCAGAAATTACTCCCCAAGACACCTTGCACAAAGTGACGACAGAAGAAAGTAACTGGAAATTCTCATTCACCCACAGAGTTCAAAGTATTTTTGTTCCATTTGCAAATTCTAGTTACTTTTTCTTGTACAACTTTACCTCGATAAACATGACCATAGTATTTGCTGGACCCCAGGGAGGGAACTGGGCCACGGCAATGCAACCCCAGAGAAGAGGCAGCAAAGGGATCTTGAAATGGCTGCTGTTTTTTCAGCTGCATAATATTTGTTGGTTCAGTGCCTGGGCTGCTGGATGTGTTGGATAGCGGTTCATCATGGTTTTTGCTGTCCCTGGTGTTCTCTGGTTGGGAAGAAAAACAGTGAAGGTCAGAGGACTGATAATGGTCAGCTCTGGTACAGCCCAACAGAGAAGGCACCAAACATTTTCATTCAATAGCTTAGTAGGGACATGTTAGTGAATCTCAGTTCTTTCCCCAGAGGATTTGTCCGTGGTACAGAATAGCTCAACAGTTTTAACACATTTGTCTATGAACGAACGAGTCCGTGAGTCTCAACTACCTTTTCCTTCCTTCTCTACTCACTGCCTAGAGATAAGTAGAGGAAATTTCCCCTGCTATTGCCTCTGAGCTGGAGAAATTCAGTTTCTGAAGCTGTCCACTCAGTTCTATTCATCAACATTAGTTAAAATATATTAATCACTTGTGAATGAGGCAGGCCTGGAGGGGGTGACAGCATATGCCAATAACATTAACTAGACATCCATATCTATTTTAGGCATTAAATTTAATCTGATTGAGGAATCCTATTAAGGATTGCAAGGAAATTTAAGACATATCTGCTCAAGACAGTACATTGAACATAGCAGTTAAAATAAATGTAAAATACCTTCTATACCGGGCAAGATTTTAATCTGAGAGACAAAGAAAGTTGGACCATGTAATACTGATCAGTTTTCAGACATTGACAGTTCATGCGACTGACCCAGGCACCCAGCAAAGTTAGTGGCAGAGCTAAAATAGAAGCCCTGTCAAGTTCTGGGCTCTAACCACAATATTTTTTTAGTGGAAGGCCTTATTCTAAATGCAAACAGGGGAGGGAAGAGCACACACCAACTGCTGAAGCTTCCTTAGCCTGACGAAGGGTTTTTGAACCTGAAAGCTTGCTTAATAACTATTCTCCAACCATTTGGGTTGGTCTAATAAAAGATATCAAATTCACCCAAGGAGCCTTGTCAGGTATAAATTAATACATTTTTTTATTAACATGGAATTTATAAAGACTTTTTGAGAGATTCTGACCAAACCACGTACCTTCCACTTCACTTTCTGCTGACGAGAGATTGAGAGTACTGAGTGCAGCTTCCAAATCCTGCACTTGCTTTAGTAACCGTTCACCTTTATCTGGCAGGGCCTGAACATTCACTGCTGCCAAAGTGCTCTGAAAAACAAAACCCAGAATCCATGCATTTTGTGCTCACTATGAGGTCCAACAGGAGACTCTTGACACACAGCAGTCAAAAGCTCAGAGGGTGAAAACACATGGCTTACAGGCTAAGAGTTTGCATTTTAACCTAAATCAGGATTTCCAAAAACAGCTTAAGCACACTGGAGTCTGTGGAACACTTATAAATCATTGGACACTACTTACCAAAAATAAGTTAACTATGACTACACCTTAGGGTGAGAAGGACAGAGTCAGAAGCTCTGAAAGATAGTGGAAAAAAAGCAACCAAGGAATCCTGAAGCTCCTTGCAGCTCAGTAATCAGGGTCCAGACTACATTCTTTAAGGTTTTGCCATTATGCCAGACTGCATATCAGAATTATCATACTATTCTGATCTGTATGTGACAAAACAAATGCACTGTCGAGGTGACCCCAGCATTCTTTCCTGCCCATGGCTGGGGGTCGGACTTGATGATCTGCTCAGGTCCCTTCTGACCCTACCTACTATGAAACTACAAGGTCAAGGACCTTAGTCCTGATGATTGATTGATCGACAAATCTGAAAGGATTCATCTCACTTTCTATATCCCAGAGGGAATTTTAAGGTCAGTCACAAATATTTTCCAGGATGTCTTTAAAAAAAAAGAGTTGTTTTCTAGAGTGCTACCATGTTGGGTTTTTTTTCTTTTTAAACATGAGGTTGGCTGGAATTTAGATGCAGCCCATGGGTTCTAAGCAAGCTGCTAACAGTCTCAGATGAGTATAGACTAGGTACCCCTAAACCAGGGGACAGATTACTTCAAAGAAGCTCTTTCACAAAGTTTCAAGTTAATGTAGACCTGACTGACTGGTGCCTGGCCTAGATTTTCAAAACCCTGAAGTGGTCACCATTCTCTGAGCACTTCAAATAGCTAAACTCTAACAGCATTTTGATTCTGCTGCTCAAAAGAGCTGAAGCATACAGCTGGCTCAAGCACAGGAAGATCCAAATTAAGTTATGCAACAGTAATAATGACCTTCTTCTGTTTCAGCTGGATTTGAAGGTGGCTGTGAAGGCCTTTGGAGTCCAATGCTTCTCCCTTTGGCAAAGATATTTCAAGTCCTGGGAAACTGGAGAGAATATTTTGCTCACTTCTCCCTGACGTTTTTGCAGGAATGCCCCCCTGTTGCACATCTAGCTTTGGTCTATCAGCCTGGCTTTCCCCCAGCGTGGGAGAAACAAATACAACTTCATCTTCGTTGGTGCCAGAGTGTCCACTACTACGTTTCTCCACCCTGGGCACTATTCCTGACTTTGGTGGTGCTGCCTGTGCTGGAGGACCTCCAGGTGGCATGAATACTGATGTCGATGGCTCTGATGTGGTTGAAGTCTTCTGTGAAATCACGCTCTGCCTAGCTGTCAGGTTCTTCTCACAGATCTCCTCACCAGCATGTCCCTCAACTTTTATCCATTTGTCCTCATGGGCTATGGAGCATTCCTTTCGGAGCTGTTCCTCTCTCAGAAGGGCAGCGTCTGCCTTTTGACTCTTAGGGCATGAAGACAAAGGCTTTCTATTCCCTTCTCCAGACAAGACATCCTCCACTAGTGTTGCACTTGCCGCCTTCTCCACATGCTTAGAAAACTTTGCAGGCTCTTTGCAGGTACCATGTTTCTGTCCATCATAAGAAAGGTTTCCCTCTTTCTGAGTCTCAGGCTGACTTGATTTAGTTTGGGAACAGGCTTCCTCCCCAGCTTCTGCCTTCTTCTCTCCAGATTGTTTCTTCATAATCTTCATTTCTGCTGACAGCTCTCTCCCTTTCACAAATTCTGATGTCAACTTTTCCTTTGCATCTAATGCTTGTGCTTTTTCTGCCTTCTGTTTTCCTCCTCCTGCTGTATTTTTTTCTGTGGTATCTTCATTTATTTGTTTCCAAGAAGACACTTCACAATTCTTGTTCAGAACTTTGAATGGATTTCGTGGACCATTGAGATTACAGAGTAGAGCTGGTGCATGATGGCATCCCAAATCAGTGGGCAACTGGGAAGTTTTTGGATTCTGCAAGATATCAATAAAAGAATTAATTCTAGAATAAGCATCTGACATCCTGTCCACCCCCCTTACTTTACCCCAATCCACTCAAACAAAATCTCAGGCTCAATGAATGCCATCGTTCCTACAACTCCAATTAAGTCAAGCACTTGTGTGCCTTTGATTGTAGAAGTCACTGAAATTTTCCTACCCTGTCTATCCCTCCCTAGGGACTCATTAGCAGCGATCCTGGTTTTCTCTGATAACCCCCTCTCTCTCCCCCAATTTTTTGATTAAAAAAAGTAACCCAAAATCCACATTTTGCTGGGATAAAAATAAAACACCATTAATATATATAAATAACTAATATATAAAAATATATTAGTGGTGTTTCATTTTGATCTCAGAAAAATGTGGATTTTGGGTTACTTTTTTAAATCCAAAAATTGGGGATTTTCTTTAAATCAGAGAAAACCAGGATCCCTGCTGATTAGGTTAGGTCTCAACAGCACCTAGTTTCTGGGATGAGAAATGGGGATTCAACCCAAGCCTCTCCTAATCTAAAATATCCCCAATGCCATGATATAATAGAACTGGTTTTGCCCAAGCCTGTAAGACAGGCCCCAACATGAAAGATTGCACCCTAAATACTGAGCACTGCACACCAGACCCTAGAAACTCTTGAAGGAAGCATTAGTTACAGAGTGGACAACGAAACAACCTCGTGCTCTCATGAGCAGATATAAATGATCCATTCATACCTGCCAAGGGATGCTTCCACACCACCTCTTTCCATCCTTCTTACTCTTAAGACATCGATAAAACAGTCTAGTGGAGAGTGAAACAAAAACAAGAGCTATGAGAGTTGATCCTAACATTCATATTAAGTGGTCTCCCACAGCAAATCAATGGGCATAGGAAATGTCAGGGAGTCAGTCTCGTGAACTACACATTACATCTAAAAGCTTTTGCTATTCAATAAAGATCACGTTTAGTAACTGGCCACTTCAGAGAATGTTAAGACTGTAGAAAGCTCTGGATAGAGATTCAGTCCTTCTGCTTATCACCTCTCCCTTGTCTTGAAATGAAAACTGAAGGTGCACTGACACATAATATTCAAAGCTCTTAAAGGCAAGCCACATCTCAGGAACCTCTTGTGTTTTACCAAAGCTCAAAACAATTAACAATATATGCAAGGGATGAACAATCATGCCCGAGTGATTTATCCCAGAACTGCAATTGCATTTTCTGGCTAATTATCCATATATCTAGCACTGAGTCCTACATTCCAAAATACTGGGCATCTGCAAAACAGTTGTCTTAAAAACATCTGTCTTAAAAAACTGCCTCCCTTTCCCCCTCAACTCAAATAAATGTTTCCTTTCCCCTCAAAGTGAAATTATTCTCAAAACCAGAAATGCCTGACATCCATCCTAGGTAGGTTAGAGCTTCTGGATTTTTGAAACCGGAGCAGTGGCCGGTTAGTAGCAGCCGGTCCTGGAACAGTGGCCACACGTGGAGCAGAGGTGCAGGGTGGTGGATGGCAACAGCAGCTGCCGCATGCAAGCTTCTCCCTGCAGTACTCCAGGATCGGCCGCCACTACTCCCTGATGTAGTGTATTTTTTAAAAGTGCCGGATTTTTTATATCCGGATTTATGAGGTTATACTGTATTCACATTCACAGTTTGATGCACTGATTTTGACAAAAGGAGGCCCCTCTCATTCCACTTATTTCAAAGCTAAGTTCTTAGGACATATCTTATTTTAAATCACAGTGCAAACCCTCAGAAGTGAGCCAACAACATACTGTAATAACAATTTCCATGGTGTCACAGGAAGTTACCCCAGCTTTAAAGTTAGTGGAAATGACAGTGAACCTTCAGCCTTTGGACAAACCTGTATTCTTCTCTGTCTTGCTGCTGAATAAGAACTTGCAGCTCCACCATATACTTCTCATGGATCAAGCAGTGGGAAGGAGGAAGGCTGAAGGTAGAGGAAGGGATTAAAAAAAAAAGAGCGAGAAAAGATTTTAGCTGAGCAAATAACAGGAACAAACACCCAAAGTAAAATGCTTAGAGACCTTGAAGGCTACTTCACAGGTCTCATTCACATTGTGATGGCTCTCAGCATAGCATCAAATCCCCTTAAATTTAAAGTGCTAATCCCCTTCCCCTCTTCTTTCCAGCCCATAGGGCAGGAGGTGCCATTTATATAAAGAAAGCATTGGGCTTTCTTGCATACAGAGGTACCAGGTTTTTTTTGCATGGTTGTGGGATCATTAATGGAGTGGGTAAGCCTAAAGTGAATTTCTGGTGAGTTTTAAGATTGAGAAATTCAATACTGATCTTATTAGCTAATATGTAAGCAAACTCCAAGACAACCTACACCTCAGTTGAAAAACCTTAGTTAAAATGTTGTAGTCCATAATAAAAGTATGTACAAGGAATAAAGACATCAGCTGGCAAACTGGGGACACGGGATGAATCTTTCCCTGCCAAATCGCCTTTAGAGCAATGTGCCTACTAAACAGTGGAGTTTGCTGCTGTGAGGAGACCATTGCCCATCATGATACCTAGTACTGTCTCCCTGTCTGCTTGCTGTCACCTGTTTCATACTTAGATTTGAAACTCTTTAGGACATGGATTACTGTTTTCCCTGCATTTGTACAGTGTCTTGCACAATAGGATCCTGGACTGTAACCGAAGCTTCTTAGTGTGACTACAGTGCAAGTATTAATTAATAAGAGACTTGCAGACATTTATCAAAGGGGAATATTTGATTCCCTTCTTATAGCTGATACGTTTTCATGCTTTCTGCGCTTCCATGAGCAGGGACCACTGAGAGCATAGTTAACTTGTGGAATGCATTGCCACAGGAGGTAGCAGGAGAAGATGGCATAGCGAGGTTCCAAAAGGGACTGAAAAATTCATGGATGATAGATCTATTAATGGCTGCTGAACAGAACGGTCGAAGGCATTTCCTCTGACATCTCTAAACCAATAAATGGTGGAGGCCAGGGAGGGTTTTGAATAGGGCAGCGTTTTCTCAACCCATGGGTCACAACCCAAAAGTGGACTGCAAGATTTCAGAGGGCCACGAGTCACAGGTTGAGCAACACTGATGCCAGGAAAGTGCTGAGACTGAAGCAAGGCAGAGTGGTGATGGGAAGGTGCCTGCCCCCTTCCAGCAGGGGAAGCGGGCAGGGGAGAGCTGTGAAGCCAGGCTGGGTGCTCTCAGGGGTAGGGCAGCAGGGAGATGCTGTTTGACAGTGCGGCAGCCCCAGCCCAGGGTGAAGCCTGCTATAGTGCTCCCCTCCTCCTCCTTCCAGCCTGTGCCAGGGCTGGACTTGCTCTGCTGCTGCCTGCATGAACTGGAGCGACCATAGTGACTGCACTCTGGGCTGAGCAGGATGGAGGCAACTGGGGGCCTCTCTGGCAGGCCTTGGGGGTGGGGCAGGAGCTGTGGGTTGGCAGTAAGGAACACTAGCATGGCCGAGAGGGAGGCAGGGGACTGTGGGTCACACACCCGCAGGGCCAGGGTGGGGGTGTGGGTCGGGACAGGCCATGAACCTTTGCAAATGGGTCCCGGTAGGAAAAAGGTTGAGAACCACTGGAATAGGGGACAGATCATTCTATATTCAGTTTGATGCTTTCCTGGGATGGCATCCGTTCCTGCCACTGAAGGACATTAGAGGGACCATTGGGGCTGGGCTAGATGGATCATTGGTTCTGACCCAGTAAAGCACTTTTTATGTTCTTATGACCAAACATTTGGCAGGAGTGCCACAAGGCAAGCCCTGCCCTCTCCCTGAGTGCCAATCCCCTTCCCCTGCTGACCCGTGTCCTGCCCCCTGCAGACCTGCTGCACTGCTTTCTGATCCCTGCCCAGTGCTCCCTGCCTGATCTGCTGCTCTGTGCTCTGCTGTCCCTTTTGCTGCTCTGCATTCTGCTCCCTACCCTGCGCTCCCTGTCTGACCTGCTGCACCGCTTCCTGCTCCCCACCCGCTGCTCCACTTTCTGCTCCCTGCCAGACCTATCCCCGTATTGCTTGCTGCAAGGTCCCACACAAAACATACCCTTGGCACCTGTACACTAGGCTGGTCTCTACTGGCACAGCAGCTGCATTTCCCTAGCCACCGCACCCTGTTCCAGCTCTTACTGGGCACCTACTCTGTGGGGGTGACGAACGCGCAGGGCGGCTGGTCCTGGACCCCGCACACATAGAAGCTTTTCCCTCGGCTCGGCCCATCCCGGACGCCTGTTTTCAGGAAGCATAGGGAGCCTGCGGGGGG